TAATTCTATCTAAAAAAAATAAATTTTAAATTTTTTTTTGAATGAAAAAATTTTAAATTTATATTTTATTATATTCTCTCCCATATTGTTAACAAATTTTAATAAAAATAATATTAAAAAACATAGTTAATATTTTATCAAATATTTCATATTAAAGATCCATGAAGACTGTTTTATAATATGGGTGGATGTGGTATATATCAAGCGGGCTGAGGCGTCAAAGCGGACAAGTATGGTGCTACTATTTGTGATGGCCTCATCTAAAAAGTTAATAAGGTAATTGAATTAAGGGTTTCTTAAAATATCTTGATTATTATTTTATTACTGCTGCAAAGCTAATGAATATCTTTGGAGGAATCAAAATATATTGGAATGGCAAGTGATGCAAGAGCGGAAGTAAGATCGTGCTAGTTCGGGACAAAATCAAGAACACGCAGAAAAAAAAAAGAAACAAAAAAATATAGAGATAGAGATATAATAAGGGACTAATTAAAGATAAATGAATTGATAAAGAAAGATAAACATAAATGAAAATGATAACTAGAACACTTGCTTCATGCAATCTTACAAAAGTTAATTAGATTTTTGATCATGTCAATATTTATCTCAAGATTCCCACAAACAAACACAGCTCATAAAAAGAATTTTACCAAACAAAAGAGAAAAATATCATTTATAACATGCTTGGAAGAGTATATAAGGGGGCCTATTTATAGACAAGAGAATAGAAGAATCTATAAACCCTAACCCTAGATGACTCCCTCCAAAAATGGTGCCTCTTCTTGACAAATTAGAAAAATTTCCTAATTCTTGGAGATTCAACGATCAAGGCTAGGTGGAAGAATTTAAAAAAATTTCTAATAACTAAAGTCTTAATTCTCAAGTCAAATCAACTAATAAAAGTCACAATAATAAAAAGGAATTAGCATTAAAGTTGAAAATAAAAATGAAAAAAAATTAAACCTTGAATTCAAATTTAGGCTAAAGTAGAAAGTAGTTTAAATTCATATTGAAGGTTTGAAGATGATGGAAATCACGCCTTCTCTCTCTTCAAATCTAATCATAAATGGCATGCTCCTTTTGTCCAAAATATCTCTCAAGCGTATTTAATAAATGGTGAATTACATAGACTTGGTCTTCACCGATTGGGCTTGCATCTTCATGGACTTGAATATTTAAAATATTAAGCAAGTGTAGACCTTTTTCATTAGGTTTGTTAGATATATGAAACTCATTAAACAATATGGGCTCAAGCTCTTAGATTTCTTTAATGAGACAATTTAGGACTTCCTTTATAACTTTGGTTTGGACTCTAATCATAAGGTATCCTATGCTTTGTAATAGATTATTAGGCACATCAGACTTGAGCTCTTGGATTTCCTTTAAATTAAGCATGCCTCCTAGCTCTTCTAAGGCCAGTCTTGATGGACTCCATGCCTTTTTGCTCCTTATGTAGGCCATGTGGTCCATCATCAACTTTGATAAAGTTAACATTTATTTTAATTCTCTTAAAACTCTCACACTCATCTAACATGAATTCTTAAATAATCATCCCCTCAATAAAATTATTAAAAAAATAAAGAAATCTATCATAAAAGACTGAATAATCATGTTTTATCACACTTTTAGATGAGGGAATAAATGCCATAATTGACTCGCACATCAATTTTCATATGATAATCTAGAGATGAGGACTTTTGATTTTCTACTCAATGGGTGTATGAATTTTTTATACTTTGATATGACAAGGAACTTAAACGAACGAGCTCATTCGTCTCATTCCCAAACAAACCAAAAAGAGGGGAGCTAATTATGTCAGCGGCACATTTGACTGTCTCACCAGAAATGAGATGAAAGCTGAAAGAAGCAAATAATCCGCCACCACATTGGCATGTTTGTGCGTAGAGCAACACGCGCGTTGTGACTGAGAGTGTGGTTTGCAATTTTCTATGATGAGAATATAATTATATATTGTCTAAAATAGTTTTATTTTTACATATAATTTTTAAATTTTATTTTCTTAATTGAGATGGTCAAATTACGAGTGTAATATTGCCCATAATATTGCATTGATTATTTCCTATTGTTATTGATTTAAATATGGTCTAAAATACACTATTATACATTTAACACATTTAGCAAACATTGGTTTAATGTGCAGTCTAGTTTTGACAACGTTAATTATATCCTTTAGCGTTTTTTCAGAGATAAACTAAGAAAGGCAGTTATCATCATCTATTATTATCATCATTATCTTTAATATAATTTAGGGAAAGTGATTTTTATAATTTCATCAAGTTTTGTTTTCAATTTATGTAATTTTTTCTTTGTTTTTAATCTTTATTTCAACAAGATTTGGTGACTTCTGTTAGTCAAATCTCTATAATTTTAATGTAAAAAAATACAAAAATTTAAAATAAAATTTAATAAAATTGTAGAAATTAATAATTATGTTTTTCTTATAATTTATTATCGATATCTCTCCTATTATTCTTCTAGGTGAGCCGAGAAATAAACTAAATCCAAACATATTTTCTGATGGTGATGAATAGTGATGGCTCATTAATTGCTGTTCAACCTCCTTGGGCTTGCCATTCTCTTTATCAACGCCCGATTTTTTTGAAATTTATGGCCTCGCTTATATACAAAAAAATATAAAAGAAATTTATTGTTCGACTACTGGTTTTTTGTTTTAAAAGAAAATGTGTCTTTTTGTTGCCTATTCTAAAAAATAAAAAAAAATTATAACATCTTTTTAATGTTATGTTATTTTTTTTCCTGCAAAGTTGAGAGAAGGCATAAAACATCATATTTTATATTAATGGCAAATATGTTAATAGAAATAAATTATTATTTCATCATTTATTTCACCATTTTAAAGGATAAATTAGCTCACTAGCCCAAAAAAAAAATTTATGCCCAAAATTTATGAATTAAATTTTTAAAAATTTAAGAATGTGGCCAATTTATATAGATATATAATGATATATTATTGACAAGAATATCAAACAAGTTATAATATAAAATATAATAAGTGTTAAGTTATTTACTTGATTTAATCCTATAACATGGATTATATCTATAAAAGCCTCTACTTTAAATATGTTTTTTTCAAAAGAATGATTCAAACAATTTTTTTTATTCTTTGTTTCTGAAATTTATTTTAAAACTTACTTTACATAATTATTTTTAGAACATAAAAATAAAAAACAGAATCAAGCAAGCCCCGCATAACAACCCAATTTATATTTTTATAATTTAAATGATACTATGATGAAATTATTCCATGATAATTGGAAATAATAATGTAGCTATTCGAGTAAAGATAACTAAAAGAAGTTAAATTTTAATAACTTAGTTCCAATACATAAATTTTTTTCAGAAAAAGAGAATAATTGATAAGGTTTGCTAGAATTAAATAAAAACATTCTAAGTAATGTTACAACTTAACATATTAAAATCAGTTACATATCAATAAAAATTTATTTAGACAAAATTAAAAAACAAAGAAGAATATTAAAGATAGGAGGAAAGAAGTGATATATATATATATATATATATATATATCTCCAATGGACCATTGGATAGCATCTGGGCCAAGGCCACTACATGTAATAGCACTTCCAAAATATCACTGGATTCATAGAGATGTGCATGAAGAGCAATGTTTTGAAGAAAATAATCCCTTAAATGATATTTAAATTAAACCCAAAACAAAAATAATCTCTCGCCTCCACCTCCTTGCTTTTCCAACACCATCCACTATGTCCTTTTTTTTTTTTGGGTTGGAAAGATGCGGCGCCAAAGCCCATACTTTCATTCAACAGCAGCAAATCGGGGCCTGGAAAAGCCCATGGCATCCCCATACATGAGCTCCTTTTCTCCTACAAGTCATCAAGAGGATCCATCAAAACTTGAAACCCCTCTCTCTACCTAAACTCCAATTAGCCAAAAAACCAGCACAAGCATTTCCTTGTCTATAACTATAAACAAATTGTAAATCCCAACCCGAATTAATGAGGTTAGCTATACACTTCATAAACATATTCTCATCCCCCCCATTTACATACAAATCTAGTAAAATATTCACAACAGCAAGAGAATTAGATTCAACAACTTTGTGCAGACCAAAAGTCTCAGCAACTGCATTTGTGACCAAACTGCCCATAACTCTGCCTCGAATGCATCACTGAATCCCATTATGTGATAGGAACCCCCTATCCAAATTCCCACATCATCTCTTACCCAACCTCCACACCCAATTTTACCCAAGCATCCCTTAGAAGTACCATCAATATTTAATTTGGCCTAGCTAGAAACAGGCCTTAACCAAGCATTATCCCTACAAACATTCCTCCCACAGACCAATTCCTCACCATCATAAGCCTGCCTCACTTTATCCACATATTTCAGAATAGCATGAACTGAAATATCATGCCTATCAAAACTAGGATCAAACATCCCTTTGTTTCTCCAATACTGAAGAAACCAACGAGTAATGCCAAAAATTTTACTCTATTTGGCATACACCAACCACCTTCAAATACTGAATTAACCATACTTCCTCATTACAATTAAAGAAAGCATCCCTGTCACAATGACCCAGAAGATGAGACCACATCCTACGAGCCACCTCACAATGTCTGAGTACACGAATGATAAAATTGAACTACGTCTTTAATGCTTTGTTTGGATGGGAAAAAAAGTTAGAGGAAAATAGGGATGAAGGGAAAATAAGAGGGGGAAATTGCTAAAAACGACTTAAAAAAATTATTTTTTGGCAATTTTCCCTCCTTTCTTTCCCTCCTAATTTTCTCCCTAAAAGTAAAGCTCTCTGTACTTTCTTTTAATAGTCATATTGACATGGATTTATTTCTTGAATAGTCATATTTACATGGATTTATTTCTTGAATTTCTTGAATCGTATAATGTGTCCCTTCACCATTTTCCTAGCACTGCACAAATTAATAATTCCCACAATTTAACCAGTTCAGTTATACTAACAGATTCAAATCCTTATTCAATTATACTAAAATATGGGATAAAAATGCAACAAACTTGTCCAGCCATAGCATCCCATCTCATAAACACATTACACAACAACAGATGCCGCATGATATGCATCATGCAAGTCTTCCATTTACATATATTATTATTATTATTCCATGAAACAGGTTATTTGAGAACTATTTACATACAAACAACATAATCGCAGTTGTGAAAGCTGCAATTATCAGAGGCCGGAAGGGATGGACTTTTATCAGCCTTTACATCTTCGACCAAATGCGGCTCAAGCTAGCTTGAATTGATCCATGTGGCTCATCCGTTGGCAAATATACATCATTATCAAACTGCAAAAACATCATTATTTTACTGCTTTAACAACTACTTGAGATGTTAAACTCATCAAATCACCGATACTAGTATATATAGACAATCCACTTGTTGGTAAGGACGTTCAAAATAGTCACTGGTATAATTGATACGTTGCAATTAATATATTAAGAAAAGGAAAATATGACAGCAAACTTGTTCAGCCAGATGCAGCATTTGACAAGTGATTTACTCGTGCCGCTAAAGTTTACACTAATTCTAATTCTAATATAAATAAGTGACAGGCAAAAGGCCAGAAGAAAGTCAAGCTGTATGAATCTCTGTGATTGGGTATAATCTGCAGCTGCAATCAATACCTAGTGGCAAAATATAAAAATCCTAGTATTCTGTTTTTATTGCATTGAAGATCTCATTCATAGGACCACATTTGATTCCCAACCATGATTCTGATTCTTCGACAACTTCAGCAAGAATTTAAAAGAAAAAGAATCGGTCATACCTTTACAATTTGGTTATCCTTGCTTGAGAGGTTGACAGGTAAGAAATGAAGATTTGGCATCTTCAGTTGGATTGAAGTTATGTCAGGAAATCTGAAACATAATAAAATCAATAGTTAATCCCAACAGACTCATGATAAGAATCTAACTAACAACCAGATGCATGTTGTGTTTGAAAGCCAGGAGAGAGAAGCTTCTTTAGGGGGATTAGGCATTACAAGGATAAGCAACCACACCATGCGTGCACGCCCACACACACACAAACAAAGAGAAGAAGAAGCAGAGACCTGTCCAGCATGGCCTTTCCCATTTGATACAGAGTGCTTTGAACAGAGGGGCTGTAGACACCCTCTTTTGGTGGGCCAAAGAAAGTGTCCATTAGAACTTTTTTGACACCTTGATACTTCTCAGTAAAGTAAAGTGGCTTTCGAGGGATGCTATGTACAGAATCATAGGAATACCTGCAAGACATTCAGTTGAAGAGGATGACTTCGTTTATTCCATGTTAAAGAGAAAATCATCAATAATAGAGTGATATAACTTATAATAGAAATGATTTATTACATTTTTTTTTTTGTGAATGCAGATTTTAATTTTATCTCTTAGAAATTTTAAGAATTTGTGAGCTTTGAAGGTCTAGTTGCTTTTTCTTCTCAGTAAAAGAAACGTGGCTTTGGAGGGATGTCATGTAGATATTTATAGGAATATCTGCAACCTATTCAGTCTAAAAGCATGACTTCATATAGTTAAAGAGAAAATCATAGATAATAGTGTAATTTACCTTAGAACATAAATGATTTATCACAATTTTTGTTGGTGAAGAGCTGATAAACATTGGTCCTGGGTCACTGATGTTAGGAAGAAGGCCAAGGATTTAGTGAAGCGTAATTGAGGTATTTTATCCATGACTGCTAGAGCTAAGAGAGTATTGTATGTAAAAGGGTTGGTTAGGGAGAGAGAAAGCAGAGAAGATTCTAGCTGGTTTTGGTGGGAGAGACTATGCCTCTCGAAAGTATAGGACCTGGGTTTTTGTTTTCTGCTAGTGGCTAGTGTAAAAACCTACATTAGACCTACACTCTCTGGAGATTTTGTGATTGAATAATACTCAGCTTAAACTTGTTTCCATCAGGATCTTAAATTTATTTCTCTTCCCACAATTTGGAGTGAGTGTAAAATTAGGGGAGAAAAATAGAAGAAAAAGACATTCTTACTCCTTAGCAGAAAGTTTTTTCTCTAGTTTTCCTCCTCTCTAAGAAGAAATCAGGGGGAAACAAGGGTGTAAAATGTCTTTTTTCTCAAGCTTTCTCTTAAATTCTTCTCTCCTCCCAATTTTCTTCTTATTCCAAACACAGTCTTTGAAATTTCAAGAATTTATGAGGTTGAAGGTTCATTTTCTTTTTTCTTATTGCTAGGATGGCATATAGATATCTTAATGCAGCAAACCGCCTTAGGTTGTGTCCTTTACTTCTTTTAGATCTTTTATAAGGCATTATCACATAAAGAACAAAGAATTTTAAAATAATTAACCATACCTCAATAATGCTGTTAATTATGTTGTTAGCTTCTTATTGTTAGGGTGGCAACCACAGGTATAAAGCATATTACTTGGACTGCTCTTTCTTTTATCTTTCAAAGCATTATTACTTGTGGCTAAATGTTTCCAGAAAAAATAAAATCTTTACAGAGAAAATAAAATCTTTACCTCCACAGTGCTGTAACTTCTGTTGCTAGCATCCTTTCCTGTGTTTCAGGAAGAGCTGTGTACTTGTCCCTTATAAACCCCTCAAAACCAGACTGCTCACAACAAACTCAAAATCAGTAGGCAGGGGAAATCTACATCAGCAAACTTTCCCTATCAATAATAGCATCCATAATCCAAAACATGGCACAACAGTTCATGGATTAGTGACTTTCTTCATACTTCATAGATTTCTATACTTTTTGTGGATAAATTTTTCAATAAGATGGGATAATTCTTTTTAAAAATAACCTAAAAAAAAGTATCAAAATGTAATTTTTCATTCAGACAATATTGAAAGCACAAAAGCGTCTTAATGTCCTTGGCATTTTGACAATAAGAAGCAAATTTTTAAAGTGCTGGCCTAACACTAATGGTATTGACAAAATAAACTATTAGATGGTTTTGCCAAGCTTTTTTCTAATCATTAGAGCACTTTCCTATAATATATTTTAGTAATAAACAAATAATAAAAAATGACTTATCCCACTAATTGAACTCAGTTACATGGATCGCACCACACTGCAGCACCCCATCAACAATCAATTTTGTAGATATATCAAAGCACAGGAGAATTGGCAATTAATGTTAAGATCGTGGTAGTTCACTATCATAGGAAGGTATTCTAGTAATTTCTTTTCCTTGTGGACCATTGTTTTGTAGGTTTTGCAGTTAATAAAGTTGCTATATGAACTAAAGGTACAACCTAGGAAGTTGTGAGGAGTGGAGACTTTGAGATTCGTGGATTAAACATTCCAGCCACTAAAAGTTGGTTCTGTGATATTGGATTCTTCGATGCAGATGGCTGAGGGGTATACCCATGGGAAGTAGATCAGAGACTTGTAGAGCTCTACCATTTTCTTAGATGATGTTGCTAAGATGACTAGGTGAGAATGAGATATCTAAATCATATTTAAGTAGTATGACAAACTTGCCTGGGTTGTCTTCAGCACAGACAGTCCTTCAATACCAGAAGTCAATTGTAGTGCACCAGACTTTTTTACTAATGCCTCACTTGTATGCTTTTCGGATCCAAGTTTGAAACCTTAAATAAAACAAACGAATAAATCTATAGATTTATATCAATAAACAGCTCTGGAACTAATTACAATGGTTACTTGACCAAAGCTATCAATTAAGTAGTGGCCATGATAATATGCCATTGAGAACTATGTGAGGAAAGGGTAGAGAAATAGTAGAGAGAGATACATAGCATCTCCAGGAGCCAGCTTACTTCCATTTCCAATGAACACAAAAAAGAAGATGGAAAGAAAAACTCAGGAATTTCACACAAGGTAGTTTGCGTATAGTAGAATCTTCAATGTCCAATAATATTTTTTCTTGACCGACACTCTCTCTTTTCTTTGAAAGAAATAATTCAATATCCAGAAATGGACTTTCAAAAATGTACTTATAAGATGATCTTTCAAATGGTCCAAATCTTGAACATTACCAACAGCTTCTATAGGATCCTAGTGGAGAATATAAAGTGTAGTGATATACTACTACATTAGAAAAACACATTTTAAGCCGTTTGAAGAATTATTAAGAAGATAATCATAAAGCCTTTTATTTATTGTAGCAGAAGCCATTTGAAATGTAATGATTGCTCTTTAACTTTATGAACAGTTTTAGTAAGAAAAGAAACTTTGATATCAAACTTTTTCACAAACAACAATCAAAAGTTTACACCACTAGTAAAAATGAAATAAAAAAACAAAGAAGAAAAGAATTGTTCCCAAATACCAACAACGAAGGAAAATCTACTAGGAACTTCTAACAGAAACAACATTGCAAAAGACTGACCATGTTCATGAGGTTGACCATCCACATAAACACGCTCCCAGGGTTTTTCCACAATCTTCACAATAGCAGTGGTAACCTACAAAAAGCCAAGATAGCTGTCATTTCCCCAAAGTAATGACAAACTCTATGAAGATTATGAAAATGGAAATTGCAAACAAAGATTTTAGAAGAGACTAGATAGAACATAGTGTATAATTGGAAAGTGATGGAAAAAGAACAGGGCACAATACAAAATCAAATAACTTGTCAAAATATAGCAATCCATGATTTGCATTCAAAAAAAGGCCTTCAGAGGCCAAAAAAAAAATAGAGAGAGAGAGAGAAGACCATTTCAAGATTGAAATTGGATTGTCTATCACCAACCTGACTGTAAAATGATGTGAAGTACTTGGCAAGTACAAGAGCAAAGTCTTCCACAGAAAGTAGTTCAGAGCATTCCTTTGCCTTTGCATATACCTGATTAGTGATAAAATTTGATTTTAGTCTCAAAAGTGAACTAAATTACACCTGAAGATTAGGGAATATATGATATGAACATATCCTAGTAAATAAGATATGAAATTGAGAATGTGTTTCCTACTACCTACAAATTGATTTTACATTTCATGATTTCATTTTACATAAGATATCCCAAATAAGAAAGTAGGATACAAACATGGGTACATAACCCATCTTTCCCAAAAGTGCAGCTTAAAACTACAGTATCATCACTATGTTAAATCAAGAATACTCTGCTCTCAATATTGCCATGTCGCAGACATCTCAAATTGTTGGAGATAATTATAATATTTTTCTGTTATTATTTATATCTTTTCTGTTAGTATCTAATTAGTTTTTTATTAGTTTGGCTATTAGATATTTTGTTTAGTAGAAATTGACCGTAGAATAAGTCTCACTCTCCTCGGGACAAGAGACATTAGGTCAACTCTGGTCTCATTTAACCTATTGTACCGTGCCGATGAATGAATAAGCGAAACTGCTCTTTCAACATGCACACAAACTTCAGCCACTGGGTGAAAATAACGACGAAATATAATAAAATAGAATCTGCATGTCGAAGACAAGCATCTTTAAAGTGCTTAAGCTGATTGAATTTTCCTTGGGAGATGAAAATCACTTTGAAACACGATATATTTGATAGTAACCTAAACAAATCCAATCAGATCCATCAACTTTTACGTCTTCCATCTATTTGCCAAAGCTGAATCATATTGCAGGATGGAAACCAGCGGGGCTCAAGGTTATCAAATACTCAAAGAAGAAAACTAATTCCAGGTAGCATATATAGTTAATCAACTACTTAACAACTAACCATTACCAGACTCAGAATGAATATGAGATCCAAAGTGAAGAAAAAATATATAGAATCTTAAATCTAAAGCGTGTCGTGTATTACCAAAAAAATTACGACCAGACTACAACACAAGTAATGAAACTATCAGCCATATTTACTGTCTTTAAGAAATCAATAGTAGAAACGTTTAAAATAAAAAAGGAGCACAACGCTGTAAAAAAAATGCTAATACATGTATATATGAACTACTTTTCGAATTCAAAGCGCACAGAATTCTCTCGTGGAAAGTAGAAGGAGATAGAAAGAACCATACCGTGTTCTTCATGGTGTCAGTGGCGACGATATCTGAATTATCATCTCGGACATAGGCGGAGATGCAATCGGAGAGGAGGCTGATGCTGACATTCCACTCCACCATGAAATGTCGTCCATCCTTATCCTTCCACACACGAGCCACCCTCACTCTCTCCTTTCCATGCCTCTGCTCGAAGTTGAACCCGTTTACTTCTTTCGCCATCTTCGCGATTGAGACCAACGACTGCGATTTCACCAAGCGCAGTTTCTGTTCAATTTATACTGCGAAGATTCTGCAATAGAAAATTCAGAGGAGCGCTTGGCGTTATGCGTCATCTTTCTGAAACTCTGTGTGCGCGTCACATCAGAATCAAACAACTACAGATTTTTTTTTATTTTTTATTTTTTACCAACGCATCAAGCAACTACGGATTACAAGTCGTTATTTTTAGGGAGAATTTCACTTTGGCCCTACGAAAAAAAAATTTACTCCGTAGGCCTAATAGAATTTGAAAACGTATAGAGTTAGTTGAAAGCTTTTCTTACAAAATTTGTTATAAATAAAAAGCTGTAATTGTCCTTGCTTTAATATGTAATGTTCATGCATGCAAAGCATGATATCTATAAATATTCAACACACTATTTATGAATGCATAACAAATCTGATGGATATTAACTTAAAATATGTTATTTCAATGAAAATATATTGTTCATTATGGACTTTATATTATATAAATATAGTAGGTCTATATATGTTTACTATGTTGAAAATTGATGGATATTATGTTGTATATTCATAAACATTTTGTTATTCATCATCTTATGTAATATTTGCTTTGACATTATTAGAATAACATTCTAACATATCATTGTGATAATTAGGATTAATTAAAATCTTTGTATAATGTCATCACAATTCAAGGGTTTAAAAGTAAATAATTTAAATATTAGGATTCTAAGAAAAATCTTTTTGAAAAACTGATTAAGCTCAAATTATAGTATAAAACAAATTATACGAGATAGCGGAAGCATGAAAATAAAAAACAACTCTTAAAATAGTAACAGGACAATATGGAAAATACCAAAATTTACCTTGTCTGCCACAGCACGCGCCTGTTGTCACTGCTATCATGATAGCACTCCAACCAACTTTCGGAGTGCTTCGTTTCGCCATCCAACATTCGATTTAAGCGGTTCAAGCATCCACACGTAGCTCTTCGAGCTCTCTAATTATTGGCACTGGTCTCATACCCAAATATTCAACCATTAAAAAGTTTGATACTTGAACCCAAAATGATTTGTTTTCAACCTGCAATACACTCAGGGGTATCCAAATCTCATAACCTAGTGCCAATAGCCTTGAAACTACTTGGACTAATTCAAATGGATCACATACGACTTGATAGGAAAATTATATCACAACAACAATAGTCCATAGACAAATTGACCACTAAAACTCTTACTTCATAGCAATAGTAAGGAGGTGTCTATAATTCACCATAATTGTCATTTTGACCAATCCAACAAATAGTCAATGCAAGCATATCACTTGCACTAGTACATCAACCTCTCATAACACTTTCAATACAAATATATCATTTTACGTTGAGATACACACCCATACACTACAATTCTCATGCAAGTGAATACAAAACAATGAATGATTCTAAGTTGGCATAATTAACAAAAATTCGTTACAATACTAAAATAAGAAGGGAAAGAGCTGTACAAACAAAGCTCTTACTCTTCGGTAGTCCCTTCCTTCCCCTTGCCCCTATTGGAGCCCTTACCTATAAAATATAACTACGAGGTGAGATAAATATATTAATAATAGAATAATTCACCACTATCAATTAACATGTACAACTATAAGCAAGTAACGCTCGTATAGGTAAAAACACTCACTTAGCATATTCAAATATAAATAGTTCCATATTCATAAGCCATTTCTACTCTCTAGCATAATCATTCTACCATCCAAGGCTTCATATCACTTCAACTGAAACTAAAGGCTCTATTGGACCAAGTACACACACAATGGCTCGAGCTCACCTTTAGTGGTAAGATCACCCGACCAAAGGTATCTTATCCTACTTTCGAATTATGGTTTCCCCTATCACATATAAATTAGGGTGTCATTACTCTAATACTGCATCTCGTATGAATACTAAGGAGATAATCTTCAACACCATACCTTACTAGGCACTAAGGAGATATATGCCATATGAGCTTCCACTACTCCTTCTACAGGTGAACTCTTACCCCCTATCATGATCATGCTCATACTTTTCATAGACATCACACGTATTTGTATTAAAACTACAATTTACTCATATAAGAAGCTTTCACAATTTCATTATTTTAAAATCATTTCAAATGTTCAAAATCCTTATTTTGCAATATGCAATGCTTTCGAAACATACGTAGGCAATTTACATATCTACTCATAAACAATTAAGCACTTAATCAAATAGAGTAAGTTATTTCATTACCTTAACCCTTTTGCCATAAAAAAGGTTATCGTGGTCTAATGTTTACTCCACACATTCCACACATGTGATAATATTTGAGCAATACTTAATCTACACGATTAAGCAATAATTGTCAATTATCACTTTAATTATACCCCTAAATCACTAAATTTCAAGTCACTATACCCAAATATCTCATTTCATCAACCTTCACTCTTCCAACACATTCCATTAGTACTATTTAGCATATAAACACACTAATATCACCAGCAATTTACTCACATTGTCCAAAAACTTTAAATTTTCATATAAGGTTCATTCAAACCCTAATGAAAAATCTCAAATCAATACAAAATCCATAAACCTAGGTTTAGAAACTTGATTTAACTCCTCAAAACTTTAACTAAGGCAATAGGTTTGGTTTAAACCCAAGGAAAATACAAAATCCACCCTATTTTGCTCAAAACTCAAAAATTTTGCATAAATAGGAAGAGGGAGATGTGAAGGAAGCTTACCCAATAATATTTTCTCTTTTTCCTCCTTTGAAATCAAACATAACTTGGGTTTGATTTATTTTTGAAATTGGTCATGCATCGCAGTGCATTATGCATGTGCTATGACACATGGCATATCAATTACCATATGCATTTTTTGCCACCTTCTCGAGCCCAGTTGACCCGTACACCATCTTAACTTATTTTCAAAGTTGTTCAAAAGTCAAATAACTTTATTAATAATCCAAAAACATCATTAATTTTGTAATTCTATTATCTTGCCAAATTTTCCCTTCTAAACACTTGAAATTTTAAAATTTGATATTTAGGATGTTTCATCTTGTACATTTCACTTCAAGTTAAACTATATCCATCAAATGTGTTGTGCATTTATGAATATTGTGTTGAGAATTTGTGAACATTGTATTGTACATCGATTGACATGCCCTTGAGACAAGGGCAATTGCATCTTTTCATCTACAATAAAATTTACAAGAAGGGTCTTCAGGCCTGTAATATGTTTTCAAATTCTATTAGGCTTATAGTGTAAATTTTTATGTTTTAGAGGCTCTAAGTGATATGCTCCCTTGTGTTTATCCACATCATCAATACCAATACAATAGAAATATAAAGAATAAAAATAACTAAAATTTCAAAACAAATAAATGGTAAAAAGTAAATAAATTATATAATATTATTTTCTCTCTTTCTTTTTGGAAGTTTTAATTTAAAACAAAACAATCATGTTAATTAATGACTTATAAAATAGGAAAAATTACATATAGGTCCCGTGAAAGCAACTTATTTAAACATAAGTCCTGTGTGAAAAGACTTATCTACCCTTAGAAAAAATTAAATTAGAACTTAAGAAAAGAACTTGATTTCCCACAAGCCTCTATCATTCAAACTAAGCCTTAACATATTGTTTAGAGCATGGGAACCAGAGATCAAAGGTGACTTAGTTGGGAGATAGATCAAATGAAGGCAAGGAATCAACTGTGAGCTTGCAAAAGCTTCCTTCACCAGTGATAAAGCAAGATTGCTTGCGAACCTATAAGAGATGAAGGTGAGACTTGTGAGCTACGAAATACATTGTCTTGCCTCCTTTCATCTCTCGTTTAGTGTTAACAAAGTTAACTAGTAATCAAATTAGGGTTATGTAATCCATGGTAAAGGTATTCTTGAATTAGAGGCTCTTATACCAATTTGGGAAGCTAAATTGCCTCAAAGTAAAGATTTTAATGTGTGGAGATATACTTATAGTATTGATACAAGTGAAATACTATAAATTTAAAGGCCAATAGGGGTGATTTTTCCTAGGAAGAAATATAGGTGGCAAAGATTTATGGCAGTATACAGTTTTGCTGTGTTTTCACTTATTTGGTTGGATTGTTGGAAAGTAATGCTATACTTTTTAATATCATTGCTTGGGAAGAAATAAATATGACAAAGATTTGTGGTAGTGAGCAATTTTACTCTATTTTCATTTATTCGATTGGATTGTTGGAAAGGTATGCCATACTTTTTAATTTTGCCTTTGCAACTTTAAATAACTTATGAGAAAGCATTGTATCTCTTGCTTCTCTTTGGTATTATATTCTTGGTTGTTTTAAGGGAGTCTGTTTGACTTGTATGAATTAGGATAGAGGCTATTGTTTTTTTTCTTAAATTCATGCTCTTTATTTCCTTTTTCATTTTTTTACTCCCTTTTAGTAGGTTGTCTTGCCTCCTTTCTTGTAACTATGTGTTGTCTTGTATGATCTACCAAGAAGAAACCCATGATGCTTATGTTGTCTTCATAAATTCTCATTTGCAACTTTGGAACTTGTAACTTATAAAGTGAGAGTTGTAAATTTGGAACTTATCTTTGTAGGATTTTTGAAAGGGGGAATGGCATTAAAGGCCTTAAAAATAGATTTTATTGTAATTTGAGCCTAAATAAATCTGATATTGCTCTGCAGGCCTTAAGGCCCTTATTGCAAATTTTTTTTAAGATCAAAAATATGATTTTGCCCTTTGTTTGATTTGAATTCAGAACCTACGTGAACTCTCAAAATAACGAAATAGACCATGCATGATATAACATCCACTATGCACAAGACAATATCCACGCATCTCAACAGAAAGTCCATACATTTCAAGTATTTCATTAACCTTGACTTTAGCAAAAATGACTAGGTAGACTATGCATGACACAACATCCACTATGCATAATACGATGTCCACATGTGCTGAACAAAAAATTCAAATATTTTTAGTATTTCACTAGCTTAGGCTATAACAAAATAACGTTAGGCAGCCCATGCACAACACAACATTCACTATGCACAAGATA